GCAATTCGAGCTTCATATCTACTGATTTTCCTGGCTAGAGCTGTTATTTGTTGCTTTATTATTTCCAGTGCTTTCTTGATCTTCCTTGTTTCTAAGTGGTATTTCTTGATTAGGTATTCTTTGGTCTTCTTGTTCTTCAGCTTCTTTTCTTTCATCTGTTCTAGCTTGCTTGCATGTGATCTTAAATTGCTGATCTTATTTTCTAGTCTAACCTTCCATTTTTCTGGTGTACTGTTTGTTTGTTTTTCTTTTTTGTTGATTTTACATCCCAGGTATTCTGTTATAACTGCAGCTGTGCTGTACATTAGTTGGTTTGTTTCTTGCAGTGAATTGGTGCTTATACTTGCTATTGCAGTATTTGCATCTTTTAATGCTTGTGCTAGCTGTTTCTTTGGAAAAAGCTTCAATGCAGGTAGCCTTATTCTGTTGTTTTTGTGCTGTTTTAGATGCTCAATTATTCTTTGTTTCAATTCTTTTATTTCTTTAGTTATAGGGTTTTGTTCTTCCTGAGGAAGAGGTGCCTGGTTTCCAAATGAGAATAGTTGTATATCTCTACTGGATTCTTTCACTGCCAACTCCCCCTGGTTTGCCTCTACATTCTGAATTACTTCTTGTAAGGCTGTGATTTCTTTGCCCTGGGTAAACCTTTTGCAGTTTCGTCCAATCTGTTTCTGTAAAACTTTATTTCGTGTTATAAATCGGCGTTGAGCTGCTAGTCTCTGTTCTGTTATTTCTGATTCTGGATGTTGTTCTTTCCAGAACTGGTGCATTCGTTTTAGATATCCTCTTCTTGTTGGACTTGATCTGTAGTAACAGATCATTATTTCTTTGTTTTCCATCACTGTGTATCTGCGACGGGTAAACACCTTTTCTTCCAGTAGTTCTGCAGCTGCTGGCCCGGGTTGCTCAGCCAACAGTCCTGAGTCCTGTAACCCATTTTTCACCAGATATCCAGGAACTCCAATATCTAGTGCGGACCTTGTTAACCCGGGCGACGTCCGAGCCGGTATGGCATTCTGAAATTTACGTCTCACCTATATTTTTTTATGGAGGACAACTCTTTGTCTGACTCCGTTTTCTGATTGAGAGAACCTGTCCAGTATGGTTGAACCCTTCTGGCATGAGCTCTCACATCGTCCTAAGAGTACACTATGCCACCACAATCCACGTCGCAAGGTAGTCCTCACTTGTGGTGGTCAGGTAGTGCCTTCACTGGGGGTATATTATCTATTATTATTAATTATTATTATTATTATTGATTTATTATTATTATGGATCATCGCACAGTCAGCCAGATGTTCAGACTGGATTTGGCATTTTGTCTACCTTTCGAGTCCTTACCCAGGACCTGGGATAGGCAGATGTGGATGTTTGATGGTATTACAGGGATCGTCGCAGGATGGAAGCAGTTCCTAATAAGGCCGCCTTTTGCAATTGACTAATAGCAAATTTGTCAATGCCAATGGTGTTCAAGTGGTGCTCCAGTTGTTTTGGGATTGCACCTAAGGAGCCTATGACTATTGGTACCACCCTTGCTTGCTTTTGCCACAGTCTTTCTATTTCTATTTGTAGGTCTTTGTATTTTGTTATCTTCTCCAGTTCTTTCTCGTCTATTCTGCTGTCTCCAGGCACTGCCATGTCCACTATCCAGACTTTTTTGTCGTTCTTATCGACAATTGTTAAGTCTGGGGTGTTACGTTGCAGGTGCTTGTCTGTTTGAATTCTGAAGTCCCAGAGCAGTTTAATTTTATCATTTTCTATGACTTTCTCTATTTTATGATCCCACCAGTTTTTGCTTACAGGCAAATGATATTTTTTGCAGATCTTCCAATGCACCATTGTTGCTACTTTGTCATGCCGCTGCTTGTAATCAGTTTGTGCAATCTTCTTGCAACAGCTTACCAAGTGGTCCACTGTTTCTTCAGCTTCTTTGCATAGGCGGCACTTACTGTCTGTTGCTGTCTTCTCAATTTTGACTTTGTATGCATTTGTCCTTAAGGCTTGGTCTTGTGCAGCCAGAATTAGTCCCTCGGTCTCTTTCTTCAATTTTCCTGCTCTTAGCCATTGCCAGGTTTTATTATTATCTGCTTTCCCAGCTATTTTTTTCATGTATTGGCCATGTAGTGCTTTGTCTTCCCATGCCTCTATTCTGTTCTTCATTTGGTCTTTCTTGTAGGCCAGTTTGGTCTCTCCAGTAGTTAGTAAGCCTTCCTGATATACTAATTTCAGTGCATCTTCATCATTGTTCTTCAGATATTCTTCCAAAGCCATTTTTTCTTCTTCAACCATCTGATGTACTTGTAGCATTCCACGCCCACCTATTTGCCTTGGTAGATAAAGTCTATCAATGTCACTGCGTGGATGAAGGGCATGATTCATTGTCATTATTTTTCTGGTCTGCCTATCCATTGCTTTTAGTTCTGCTTGAGTCCAGTCCACTATTCCAGCTGTGTACCTAATGACTGGGATTGCCCAGGTGTTGATTGCCTTTATGGTATTTCCTCCATTGAGTTTGGACTTTAAGATCTTCTTCACTCTCTTGATGTATTCACCTCTAATCTTTTTCTTGACTTCAGTGTGCTTGATGTTGTCAGCTTGAAGGATACCCAAGTATTTGTAGTACTCTTCCTCATCCAGACTCTTGATGTTATTTTCGTGGGGCATCTTAATTATTATTATTATTATTATTATTATTATTATTATTATTATTATTGGGTTCCTGCCTGAGCAGGGGGTTGGACTGGCTGACCTCCAAGGTCCCTTCCAACTTTATTCTTATTCTTATTCTTATTATTCTTATTACTACTACTACTACTACTACTACTACAATTATTATTACTACTACTATTACTACTCCTATTACTACTACTACTATTATTACTGCTACTACTATTACTACTGCTACTAATATTACTATTACTATTAATACTACTATTATTATTACTATTACTACTACTACTACTACTACTACTACTATTATTATTATTATTATTATTATTATTATTATTATTACATCCAAGGCCCCTTCCAACTCTGCTCTTCTGTTCCTCTGCTCCACTCTCCCTCCCTAATCACGGGTCCGGCTTGGCTTCTCCCCATGTAGCTACTTTGCCGTCTGCTTTTACCTGATGATGCTGGTCATGGTAGAAGGCTTCGGAGGTAAGAAAGCCGTGCTGAAGGCCTTAAAAGACACCCCCATGCTGATCAGGACGGGGCCTTGCTGCTGTTGCTGTCCCTGTTGCCCCACCATCACCATGACCAAGTGAGTGGAAAGGGGTGGCTGAGCTGCAGGAATCTGCACAGTCGCTAGAGGGCAGCAGAGAGTGGTGGTTGTGAGTTCCCCTGTTGGTGACCAAGGGTTTTGCAGGCCTGTCATAAAGGAATTCAAGGGTGAAAAAAGTAAGGTTCTACACTTAGGCAAGAAAAACCAAATGGACAGGTATAGTACTATAGGTGGTGGTACCTTGCTCAATAGTAGCAACTGTGAGAGGGATCTCGGAGTCCTAGTGGACAATCACTTCAATAGGAGCCAGCCGTGTGCTGCAGCTGCCAAAAAGGCCAACACAGTGCTAGGCTGCATCAACAAAGGGAGAGAATCAAGATCACGTGAAGTGTTAATACCACTTTACAAGGCCTTGGTAAGGCCACACTTGGAATCCTGCGTCCAGTTTTGGTCACCACGATGTAAAAAAGATGGTGAGACTCTGGAAAGAGAGCAGAGAAGAGCAACAAAGATGATGAGGGGACTGGAGGCTAAAGCATATAAGGAACGGCTGCTGGTCCAGGGGTAGGCAACCTTGGCTCTTTTATGACTCGTGGACTTCAACTCCCAGAGTTCCTCAGCCAGCATGGGGAAACTATGGCCCCTTCATGACTCGTGGACTTCAACTCCCAGAATTCCTGAGCCAGCATGGCTCAGCTTGGAAACCTCTCCCTTTCCCCTCAGCATAGCTGGCTCAGGAATTCTGGGAGTTGAAGTCCACAAGTCATAAAAGAGCCCAGGTTATCTACCCGTGGCCTAGGCCTGCATTTCTCAACCTTGGCCAGATTTCCTGAGCCAGCATGGGGGAACTATGGCCCCTTCATGACTCGTGGACTTCAACTCCCAGAATTCCTGAGCCAGCATGGCTCAGCTTGGAAACCTCTCCCTGTCCCCTCAGCGTGGCTGGCACAGGAATTCTGGGAGTTGAAGTCCACAAGTCATAAAAGAGCCCAGGTTGCCTACCCCTGCTTTAGTTTAATGAAGAGAAGGACGAGGGGGGACATGATAGCAGTGTTCCAGTACTGCCCCAAAGAAAAGGGAGTCAAGCTATTCTCCAGGACAACCAAAGGCAGGACAAGAAGCAATGAATGGAAACTAACCAAGGAGAGAAGCAACCTAGAACTAAGGAGAAACTTCCTGACAGTGAGAACAATTAACCAGTGTGCAGGGGCTGGAGGTTGGGGGGAAGTGTATCAGGGAAACAGAAGTGGTGCATGGCTTTTGGCATTGCGTGGGGAGCAGTGGGGAGGGGGGGCCAGGCCGGCAAAGGGCCTGTTCTGTTCCAGGCTGGTAGACTCAGAAGAGAGGGCAGCCAGCCGCCCCTTGTAGCCTCCTCTCCCATTGCTAGAGGTTTAGTTGAAGGATCTTTTCGTTGTATTTCCTGCAGACGGAAACTCCAAATAATGCTGCTGGGCACTTTCCAATATGCCTTCCTTAAGGTTGCCTGCACTTTCCTGGGCCTCGTTTTAAGCACCGAGGGCTTGTACGACACAGCCGACGTAAGGGGCATCTGGGCCCTTGAGGGGAGGGGCGGGGGGGGGGGGTGGAACGGTACCCTTTGGCGTCTTTAGGTAAAACAGAGGGATACAAGAGCCCATCAGCCCTTCCTTTCCCGAGGACGATTGGGAGAATTTGAAGAGGGAGAGGCGGGGGTCCAGGTTACGCTCTGAGCTGGGTGGGTTTCCTTGCAGACGTTTCATGACCCAACTAAGGAACATCACCAGTACTACAAGGCAGAAGAGGAGGGGGAGGCGGAGGAAGGGGTCCTGGATACACTCTGAGCTTGGTGGTTTTCTTGCAAATGGTTCGTCACTCAACTAAGTGACATCTTCTGAGAGTTGGGTGCGTGGGGAGGAGGAGGAGGAAGAGGAGGAGGAAGAGGAGGAAGAGCACTGTGGAGTCCTTGGTGCTTTTTGAGCTTGGTGGTTTTCTTGCAGACGTTTCATGACCCAACTAGGTTACATCCTCAGTGCTAGAAGGGAGGAGGAGGGGGGTGAGGATCCTGGGTGCTCTCTGAGCTGGGTTGTTTTCTTGCAGATGTTTCATGACCCAACTAGGTAGCATCATCAGTCTAGACTCTAGAAGGGAGTGGATTCTTTGTTGATGTACAGCAGGTGACCCTATCGTTGTAGGTGAGGGTATAGTTTGATTAGGGTGTTCTTTTCTGCTTGACCGTTTGTCTAGTCTTATTCCCTGCTTCTTCGCAGAAGAGTTTACCTAGTTGGGTCATGAACCATCTGCAAGGAAACCAGGAAGCTCAAAAAGCACCCAGGTTCCCACACTCCTCCTCCTCTCCTCAAACACCCCTCCTTTATAGCACTGATGATGTTCCCTACTTGGGTCATGAAATGTCTGCATGAAAACCAAACTCAGACAGCACCAAGGACTCCCCAGTCGTCATCGTCGTCGTCCTCTTCCTCCTCCTCCTCCTCTTCTTCTCCTTCTTCCTCCTCCTCCCCTCCCCCTCCTTCTTCTTCCTCCTCCTCCTCTTCTCCTTCTCTTCTTTCTTCCTCCTCGCCTTCCCCTCCCTCCTCCCCTCCTCCTCCTCCTCCTCCTCCTTCGCCTCCTCTCCTCCTCCTCCTCCTTTCTTCCTCCTCACCCTCCCCTCCCTTCCTCCTCCCCTCCCCTCCTCCTCCTTCTCCTCTTCTCCTCCTCCTCCTTTCTTCCTCCCCTCCCTTCCCCTCCCCTCCTCCTTCTCCTCCTCTTCTTCTCCTCCTCCTCCTCTTCCTCCTCTTTCTTCTTCCTCCCCCTCCTCTCTGTGCACCCACTCCCTTCTAGCACTGATAATGCTCCCTAGTTGGGTCATGAAACATCTGCATGAAAACCAAACTCAAAGAGCACCAAGGACTCTCCTCCTCCTCCTCCTCCTCCTCCCCCTCCTCCCCGCAAACCCTCTCCTATCTAGCACTGATGATGCTCCCTAGGTGAGTAATGAGAAAACAATGCAATGCAAGAAAACAATACAGCTCAGAGAGCACCAAGGACTCCGCAGATGCTCCCAAATTCACGCTCCCAAATTGGCAGGGATGCTGGGAATCAAAAGTCTGATCAACTTGGGGAAACCTGAGCCAAATATTAAGACCTCCACCAGACCGGACCAGGAGCCACCTGCGTTCAGCCTCATTGGCATCTCTTCTCTTGCCTTTAGATTTCAGCCACCAGCGTGGCTCTCTGGATCAACACCTCCCTGGGCGTGTCCACCCTTTTTGCCCTCTGGTCGCTGGCCATCCTCTTTCGGCAAGCCAAGACTCACCTTGCAGAGCAGAACATGACAGGCAAATTCGTTTGCTTCCAGGTAATCCTAGGGGTGTATGAAGGAATAGGGGCAGATAAGGGCATCCAATCTCCTGCTTGAGCAGGGGGTTGGACTAGAACAGCGGTTCTCAACCTGGGTCGGGACCCCATTTGGGGTCAAACGACCATTTCACGGGGGTCGCCAAACAACGCAGTCCGCCATTTTTTTTTCAGCCGGTGCAGGGGTGCTGCCGCGCATGTGTGCCATGCAGGGGGCGGCGCATGGGGGCGCTGCCGCGCATGCGTGCTGCGCAGGGGGCGGCGCCGCGCATGCGCGCCGCCTGCTCATGACCGGGGTCGACGGTCTAAAAAGATTGAGAACCACTGGACTAGAAGATCTCTAAGATCCCTTCCAGCTCTATTCTGATTGATGGATTGAAATAGTTGAAGGTCTCCTGCTTGAGCAGGGGGTTGGACTAGAGGACCTCCAAGGTTTCCAACTATTCTTTTCTGTTCTATTCTGTTCTGTTCTATTCTATTCTATTCTATTCTATTCTATTCTATTCTATTCTATTCTATTCTATTCCTTTTCTCCATTCTATTCTATTCTATTCTATTCTATTCTATTCTATTCTATTCTATTCTATATTCTTTCTATTCTATTCTATTCTATTCTATTCTATTCTATTCTATTCTATTCTATTCTATTCTATTCTATTCTATTCTATTCTATATTCTATATTCTTTCTATTCTATTCTATATTCTATATCCTATATTCTATTCTATTCTATTCTATTCTATTCTATTCTATTCTATTCTATTCTATTCTATTCCTTTCTATTCTATTCTATTCTATTCTATTCTATTCTAGTCTTTCTATATTCCATTCTATTGTTTTTCTACTACTCTACTCTACTCTACTCTATACTTTACTCTACTCTATATTCTTTCTATATTCCATTCTATTGTTTTTCTACTCTACTCTACTCTATACTTTACTCTACTCTATATTCTTTCTATATTCCATTCTATTGTTTTTCTACTGTACTCTACTCTATCCTAATTGTCTGAAATGGTATAGGGTTTCCTGCCTGAGCAGGGGTTGGACTAGAAGACCTCCAAGTCCCTTCCAACTAGTTCTTCTTCTTCTTCTTCTTCTTCTTCTTCTTCTTCTTCTTCTTCTTCTTCTTCTTCTTCTTCTTCTTCTTCTTCTTCTTCTTCTTCTTCTTCTTCTTCTTCTTCTTCTTCTTCTTCTTCTTCTTCTTCCTCTCCTTCTCATTATTATTATTATTATTATTATTATTATTATTATTATTATTATTATCATTATTGTCTTGAGGTGGAGAAATGTCAAAGTTGATCAAAGTTGCTTGCTTCGAGATCAGAGCTGGTTTGACGTCTCTCTGGGTTGATCTGCTTCCAGGTCCTCCTCATCTTGACGGCCTTGCAGCCGTCCATCTTCAGCATCTTGGCCAACGGGGGTCAGATCGCCTGCTCCCCACCTTTCTCCTCCAGAGCCCGAGGCCAGCGTAAGTTTCGGGGACTAAATCAAGATTTTCCCAACCCGATGCCCTCTCCTTAAGTGGCATTCCGATTCTCGTCATTCCCAGAATCCTCCGTGCATATTTCCTACAATCCTCTTGGGCCAGGGTATGGAATAGCTTTCCTCAACCCAGATCTGGGCTCTAGATTTGCTAGAACAGAGAGGGGAACTACGGCTCCTTTATGACTTGTGGACTTCAACTCCCAGAATTCCTGAGTCAGCATGGCTGGCTGAGGAATTCTGGGAGTTGAAAATCCATCATGGCTGGCTGAAGAATTCTGGGAGTTCGTCCATCATAGCTGGTTGAAGAATTCTGGGAGTTGAAAATCCATCATGGCTGGCTGAAGAATTCTGGGAGTTGGTCCATCATGGCTGGTTGAAGAATTCTGGGAGTTGAAAATCTGTCATGGCTGGCACAGGAATTCTGGGAGTTGAAGTCCATCACGGCTGGCACAGGAATTCTGGGAGCTGAAGTCCATCACGGCTGGCACAGGAATTCTGGGAGCTGAAGTCCATCACGACTGGCACAGGAATTCTGGGAGCTGAAATCCATCATGGCTGGCACAGGGATTCTGGGAGTTGAAGTCCACAAGCCATAAAAGGGCCCTAGTTCCCCACCCCTGTGCTAAAATGAAATTTGTAGGATGCCCAACATTTTCCAAGCAAAGTAATGGGGAAAAAAAAATGGAGCACATTGGAAGAAATGTAGCGGTTTGTTAGCACAAAATTTGGAAAACCTGCAATTAATGGTGGTTAATTAAACACTGACCATGTTACCTCGTTAGGGTAATGAAACGCTTGCAAGAAAACAAGCAAGCTCAGAGACTATCCAGGAACCCTTAATTGTGGTCCTCACCGCAGGGCTGTAGTCATTGACTTACAACCACAATTAGCCTAAAATTTGCTGTGGCTAAGTGACACAGTTCAGTGAGTTTCCCGCCATTTTACGACCTTTCTTGTCACGATTGTTATGTGAATCACTGCGGTTGTTAAGTCAGTCACACGGTCATTAAGTGAATCTGGCTTCCCCCGTTGACTCAGAAGGTCACGAAAGGGGATCAGGTGACCCCGGGACGCTGCCACCGTCGTAAGTATGAGCCAGTTGCCAACTGTGGCAAAAAAGATGGTAAAATGGGGAACAGCTCCATTAAAAATTGTCTTGCTTAACAACGGAAATTTTGGGCTGAAGCATGGCCGTAAATTGAGCAGCCAGCAAACCCCAGCAGCTTAGCAAAGTCAAATGCGCCTCCCGGGTATGCAGAGACTACAGTTCCCAGCCAGCACGGCTCCTGGGAACTGTAGTCCTGAAAACCTCTGGAAGGGAGCATTAAGTGAGATGGCTGCTTTCAAAGGACCAGGAAAGGGCTGCCTTCAAAGGACTAATCCTGCTTTTTTCCCCATCTTTTGCCTTAAGAAATGCACGCCCAGCTGTTGATCCTGCAAACATTCGTCCTTGCGGTGCTGGCCAGGATGTATTACCGCAAGCCGGACGACAAGCCAGGATGCTGCCTCCGCGAATCTCCAGAGTTCAAACCAGAGATCAAACAATAAAGGATAGTCCGAAACCCAGACCCCCCCCCAACAAAGACACTTGCCAGACAGGCAAATCACCACCCTACAGGTAGTCCTCAACTTACGGCCGCAACTGAGGCTAAACTTCACGCCGTCGAGACATTTTGTTTTGTCGTAATTTGACGGCGCTTCTTGCCACGTGAAAAATCGCAGCAGTCGTTACGACGAGTCGCACGGACGTGACATGAATCTGGCTTCCTCGTTAACCTGGCTTGTCGGAAGGCTGTCATAAATGGGAGTTGGTTGCTAAGCGTCCGAATGTTGATCACAATTATGGGGATGCTGCGACCGTCGTTAAGTGCAAAAACCGGTCGTAAGTCGCTTTTTTTCAATGCCGTTGTTAACTTCGAACGGCTGTTGTAAGTCGAGGACTACCTGTCTACGTTTCCGTGAAGAGTTTTGTGGCTTGCTAGCGAGAGGAGAGAGAGCAATCCACAATCCACAATCCACCTCTGTGGAGTGACTTTTGGACTCACGGGCATGCCTATTGTTAAAAGTATGCAAAGCTTGCCGAATAAATCTTCTCATGGGAACGAGAGAAGGGAAGCGTGGCGCTTAAGTTGCTAGACCTGCTTGTCGGTTTTTTGTGTCCAGAAACTTGCTGTCTGGAGGGGAGAAATCCTTCTGAACTACAGTAGCGACCAAAATTGTGGAAACCTTTTGGGAAAAGCGTACGGTAAAAATGCCACCTTGGGTTAAGTTTCTACCCATTTTCCTTCTAATTTCTTTATAACTATAGCAGTGGTTCTCAACCTGTGGGTTGGGACCCCATTTGGGGTCGAATGACCACTTCACGGGGGTCGCCAAACAACGCAGTCCGCCATTTTTTCCCCCTTTTCCTTAGCTGTGCTACTCCCTTTTATTCTATTGGCTTTTGAAAGCCAATAGAATAGACTCTCTTGAATAGATCTAATTCTATTGGCTTTCAAAAGCCAATAGGAATTGTCCAGGCTGTCTCTGCCCTGCTGAGCCCGCCAAAAGTCCCATTCTGCAAACGGTGCTGCACCACTTGAGTAGTCCTCGATTTACAACCGGTTGAGTAGTCCTCGACTTTCGACCGGTTGGGGGGCGCGACATTAAAAAGGTTGAGAACCACTGTTGTTAAGCCTTGTTCACTTAATAAATACTATTTTATATTGCTTTCTGGGCGACCGGTCAACTGTTTGCACCATGGCTTTAATTTTTTGATGTTTTACAAGCTCACTAAATGAAAGCACACACACACACACACACAAACCCCAGCCAACTTGATAGCAATTATATAACACACTGACCAATGTCCTCCTCTCAGCTTCAATACAGGACATCCATCACTGGATCCTACTGTGACCTGATTGGCTCATGGCCAAAACAAGAGGACACCCGATTGGCTCTCTAAACACTCCTGCTCATTGGCTACCATCCGATGAAGGAAAGCTGCCTGAGATCAACCAATGTGGTTGCATTACATTCCTGATTAAATAATCTTTCCGTTGATATATACTTTTATGCTACTGCTCCCCCCCAAAAAAGTGGTGTTATTAGCCATCCAACCTCAAATGTACACTTTTCCCAAAAGGTTTCCACAATTTTGGCCTTTACTGCAAAAGGAGAAACTTGGGAGCACTGAGGCATGCTTTGTGTGAATATTTCTAACAATTCTGATTTGGCTAGGTTGGGAGAGAAACCGGGAGGGTGGGGTGAGCGGGCTGAATTCCTTCGCTAAATATGTTTTATGACCCAACAACGTAACATCATCAGAACTAGAAGGGAGGAGGAGGAGGATTATAGGGTCCTGGGTGCTCTCTGAGCTGGGTGGTTTGCTTGCAGAGGCTTCATGACCCAATTAGGTAACATCATCAGTGTGAGAAGAGAGGGGGATTTGTGGAAAGGAGGAGGAGAAGGAGGAGGAAGAGGAGAACGACTATGGCAGGGGTAGGCAACCTTGGCTCTTTTATGACTTGTGGACTTCAACTCCCAGAATTCCTGAGCCAGCCATGCTGAGGGGAAAGGGAGAGGTTTCCATGGTGAGCCATGCTGGCTGAGGAATTCTGGGAGTTGAAGTCCAGGAGTCATGAGGGGGTCATTGTTCCCCCATGCTGGCTGAGGAATTCTGGGAATTGAAGTCCACGAGTTATGAGGGGGCCATAGTTCCCCCATGCTGGCTGAGGAATTCTGGGAGTTGAAGTCCGTGAGTCATGAAGGAGCCCATAGTTCCCCCACGCTGGCTGAGGAATTCTGGGAATTGAAGTCCATGTGTCACGAAGGGGCCATAGTTCCGCCACCTTGGCTCAGGAATTTTGGGAGTTGAAGTCCACGAGTCATAAAAGGGCCAAGTTTGAAGACCCCTGATGTAAGACCAAGGAGATGGTGCCAAGGCCGAGGGCAGCCACGGGAAGACTGGCTGTCCTCAAAGATGCCACAGAATACACCAGAATACAACCTTGGCTCTTTTATGATTCGTGGACTTCAATTCCCAGAATTCCTGAGCCAGCCATGCTGAGGGGAAAGGGAGAGGTTTCCAAGCCGAGCCATGCTGGTTTAGGAATTCTGGGAGTTGAAGTCCACCAGTCATAAAAGAGCCACGGTTGCCTACCTCTGGGGTAGGCTATGGGGTCCCTGGTGCTCTTTGAGCTTTTCTTGCAAAGATTTCATGACCCAACTAGATAACATCATCAGTGTGAGAAGAGAGGGGGGTTTGTGGAAAGGAGGAAGAGAAGAACTATGGGGTCCCTGGTGCACTTTGAGCTTTTCTTGTAGATGTTTTATGACCCAACAACGTAACATCCTCAGTGTTAGAAGGAAGGAAGGAGGAGGAGAACTGTGGAGTCCTTGGTGCTGACTCAGTTTGGTTGTTTTCTTGCAAACATTTCATCACCAAACTAAGCAACATCATCAGTGCTAGCAAGGAACTGGCTTTGTTCTCACTTTATATAGTGGCTTGCCCCGTCAGTGTTGGCTGGAGTGGAGCTTCTTTGCTTGAGCTGCTCGCAACAGATCACGATGCTGCTGGCACTTGGGAGGAGTGTGAGTGCGCATCCTGCGTAGGAAACGGACTCACAAAGCCGCTGCACTCAAGCAACCCTTCTGAGGCTGCAGGAAAGAAGCAGGAAGAGAACGGAGGCGCAGCCAAACTCGGAAAACACCATTCAGACACCGGAAGAGCTACCCAGACAGTCAAACCCGAACATTTATTACATAGTTAAGAACAACATCCAACCAAAAGTGGGTTCCTAATGAACGGGTGCTGTGCCGGAACGAGATAAGCAGCTGCCCCCCCCAGATGTGGCTCCGCGTCCTCCGGAGGAGCGGGGCGGCGACAGAGGGCCAGACGCGCACTCCAAATCCTGCCGTCTGGGGGCCGGGGATGACTGTGCACCCACCTCGGCTCGTGGCGTGCCTTATGGGGCTTCCCTCGTTCCGCCACGGGGCAAACTCCGGGCCGATTCTCGACAGCGCGGGGCACCCATCGGATGTGCGAGAAAAGCCTTTTGGGAAAACGTGGGCGCAAAGATCGGCTTCCCGCAGAGATTTGGCGGCCTTTTTTTGCGACGGGACAGGACGCCAAAGGGCGAAATGTTACTTTAATGGGGTGCCCCACAGCCCCTCACAAATAGCTTAGGGAGGGAGGTGGGCGAGAGAGCCAGAAGCCGGGGACAATCTGTCAGCTTGCGGCTTTTCAGCACAACCAGGGACCCACAACGACAGCCTGGAAACAGAAGAATTCACCGCCTCCCCCCCCCCGCCCGCCCCCTGGTGCACCTGCAGCTCCGACCCCCTTGCAGGACGTTGCAAAAAGAAGCGAAAAGGCTGCTTTCACTTTTGGGGGGGGGGTCCCACACAGGAAGAGCGGGGAACATCCTTAAACCCAGGAGCGAATCCCTCGGGGAAGCCCTGCAGCTTTGCCTGATCCTCCTCCGCTTTTTTTCTCTTGAGGACTAGAAACGTGGGGAGGCTGAGAGAGGACTCTCTCTCTCTCTCTCCCCCCCCAGGCGTGCGGAACGGCCTTTTTGCAGCTTCCTGCCCCCCCTACTACCTTCCCCGGTGCACCCGCTTGAAGGGCCTCTGCATCCCGCAGACCGATGACCCCGGCCGAGGGGAGAAGCAGAGAGGGCCATGCAAGAAGCTGAAGGGAAGGGCTGGGCGAGAGAGTTTCTCCCCCGCCCCTTTGCCCCTCGCAGCCCCACCAAGATCGAGGCTTTCGGCTAACCGGTACAAATAAAAGGTTTGCTTTTAAAACGAAGAGCCCCCCCCCCGTTTCCCGCAGTCCCACCGAAGGGGCGAGAAACAAACCAGGAAAAGGACGAAGGGGAGAAATAAAAAGGGGGGAAATGCCAGGGCGGTGTCCCAGCTCCCGGAGGGCTGGGCAGCGAAGATCCCTTTTGGCGGTGCCACCGTTCTCAGTTCTTGCGTTTTGGGAGCCTGGAGGGTCTTCCCCCCCTCCCCTCCAGGGGCTCGTGGTTTCCCCGGGGTCCGGCTCAGTCCTCCTCATCCTCGCTGATGTCGTAGCTGGCCGTCGACGTGTTCCGGGGGAGGCCAGCTGGAGACAGCGGGGGCGTCCTGGCGGTGAAGGGCCAGCGGAAAGAGGGCGAGGGTGAGCGGTCGTGCGTGGGGCTGCTGCTGGGACTCTGCTTGGGGCTGATGGCCTGCAGCATGCGTCCCTTCCCTTCTTTCAGCATGTGCTTCTGGAGGGAGGGGAAAGGAAGGAAGAAAAAATGATTGGAAAAAGATACATAATCATAATCATAAAGAGTTGGGAGGGACAAGGGAGGTCATCTAGTCCAACCCCCTGCTCAGGCAGGAAACCCTACACCATTTCGGACAAAGGGCTGTCCAGTCTCTTCTTAAAAAGTTCCAGTGTTGGAGCATTCACCGCTTCTGGAGGCAGGTGGTTCCACTGGTTAATTGTCCTCACTGTCAGGAAGTTTCTCCTTAGTTCTAGGTTGCTTCTCTCCTTGGTTAGAAAAGATGTTGGGAGAATGTAATCCTGAACTTTTTTTTTAATTAGGTACAATGCCAGAAAAGACTTAACAAACAAAGCCTATATTTGATTTTGCACGTCACCACAGCGGCAAGAATAATATTTGTGCAAGGTTGGAAAAAGGAAGGGATACCACCAGATGAAGAAATAATTAAAAAAAAAAACACTGGAATGCGCAGAGATAGACAGATTTGACTATGAGACTGAAAGAAAAAGAAGAAACAGAATATTATCAAATGTGAAACTTACTTTACCGATGGTTAGAGGAAAGAATAAAGGATTAGGAATTAAATATGTATTAGCGCAAGGGTAGGCAACCTTGACTCTTTTATGACTGGTGGACTTCAATTCCCAGAATTCCTGAGCCAGCCATGCTAAGGGGAAAGGGAGAGGTTTCCAAGCTGAGCCATGCTGGCTGAGGAATTCTGGGAGTTGACGTCCATGAGTCGTGAAGGGGCCATAGTTCCCCCATGCTGGCTGAGGAATTCTGGGAGTTGAAGTCCACAAGTCATGAAGGAGCCATAGTTCCCCCATGTTGGCTGAGGAATTCTGGGAGTTGAAGTCCACGAGTCATAAAAGAGCCAAGGTTGCTTGCCCCTGTATTAGCGTATTTAAACTCAGACAGCACGGTGGTTGAAAAATTATTATTGCATCTATGGGAAAAATTAATAAAATCTTGTAAAAAAAAAAAAGGAAGGAAGAACACATCTTCAAAAGAGAGTCCACTTTCAAACAGATACAGCTAAGTCCTCAAGTTACGACCATTTCGTTTAGTGACTGCTCGGCGTTCCGAGGACACGGCAAAAAGGGTCATGGGTTTCCCACACGGACGACCGTTGGAGTGTCCCCGGGATGAAAATTTGGACACTTGGCCACGGGCTCGTATACTGTATACAACGGTTTCTGTGTGTGTGGATCACGCGCTCCCCGTTTTGCAACCTTCAACGTCAACAGGGGAAGCTGGACTCGCTTAACAACCGCGTGGCGAACTGAAGAACTTCGGCCGTCGTCCGGATGGCGCTTTTCCCAAAAGGCAACTGGACATTCTTGGGGGGGGGGTTGCCCCCCCTTGAAAAGGTTTCGCTTCTGATCCAAGAAGCTTCTTCGGTTCTGGATGAGAAGCGAAATCTTTTGAAGGAAAAACATACACACACACAAAAAAGCAGAGAAAGTCCAAGTTGCCTTTTAGGAAAGCGCTGTTGGGACGCTGAGAATCTCCCCAGACTTCGTTAAGCTCGACAAGGGGTCATTTTTTCCAAGAAGGCGCTAAACAGAGCAAAACGGTCGCTAAGCATGACAAAGGATCCCGAGTCCCCCTTTTTTTTTTCAGCGCCGTTGAAACGCCGACCGGTCACTCAACGGATTGGCTGTAAACTGAGGACCAATTTCCCAGCTGCTTCGGACGGGAGGGGAGCCAAGTCACAAGCCCCCCGAGACCACCCAAGAACGGGAATTTTTACACCAGTGGTTCTCAACCTTTTTAATGCCGCGACCCCCAACCAGTCGTAAGTCGAGGACTACTCAACCGGTCGTAAGTCGAGGACTACTCAATTGGTGCAGCACCGTTTTCAGACTGGGGCTTTTGGCGGGCTCAGCAGGGCAGAGACAGCCTGGACAATTCCTATTGGCTTTGGAAAGCCAATAGAATTAAACTCTATTCAAGAGAGTCTATTCTGTTGGCTTTCAAAAGCCAATAGAATAAAAGGGAGTAGCACAGCTAAGGAAAAGGGGAAAAAAAATGGCGGACAGCCTTGTTTGGCGACCCCCGTGAAATGGTCGTTCCACCCCAAATGGGGTCCCGACCCACAGGTGGAGAACCGCTGCTTTACACACACAAACACACAATTACCAAGGCGCCTTCGGGACCGAACATCTCCAAGAAGTTGCCGATGAATTCCCGCGACTTCTCCTCCCATTTCTGAATGAGGTCGATGCTTTTTTCCTCCACTTTCTGGACAAATTCCTTCGATTTTTCCTCCACGTCCTTCACCCTCTTCTTCACCTTGTCCACCCTCTCTTGTAGGTGGTACTTCTTCTCCTGAGACGGGAGGGGGGGGGGAAATCAAAAAAGGTTACTGTGGGGTGGGTGGGTGGGGGGGAAAGAGGGAGCATCAGCTGAGCCCCCCTTTCTCTGGGGAGGGGGGAAAACAAGGATTGTGCCACGGCCTGAAGGGGGTGCTTTGTCCCTGGGGAGGGCTGAGCCCGGTCATCGGGGCCGAAGGGATTGTCGTTTATTTGGAGGGTGGCCACCTGAGTTCATTCGCACGTGGGGTTTTGGACAATCTGGATGGGTGGTGGAGGAGCAGGGAAGAGAGAGGCATACCGAAGATAGAATCCTAGGCCTGGAAGGGACCTGGGAGGTCATCTAGTCCAGCCCCCTGCTCAAGCAGGAGAGCTTATACCAGCCCGGTCAAATGGCTGTCCGGTCTGTTCTGAAAAACCTGCAGTGTTGGAGCACTCACTTCTGGAGGCAAGGAGTTCCACTGGTTAATTGTTCTCAGGGGCAGAAAATTTATCTTTCTTTCTAAGTTCCAGTCCCTCTGAGACGTTTCCACCTGTTGCCTCTCCTTCCTTCCTTCCTTCCTTCCTTCCTTCCTTCCTTCCTTCCTTCCTTCCTTCCTTCCTTCCTTCCTTCCTTCCTCCCTCCCTCCCTCCCTCCCTCCCTTCCCCTCCCTCCCTCCCTTGTAGAATCATAGAATCCTAAGGCTGGAAGGGACCTGGGAGGTCATATAGTCCAGCCCCCTGCTCAAGCAGGAGACCCTATACCAGTGGTTCTAAGAGCCGAGGTGGCGCAGCAGTTAGAGTGCAGTACTGCAGGCCACTTTAGCTGACTGTGTTCAGCAGGTCAGCAGTTCAAATCTCACCGTCTCAAGGTTGACTCAGCCTTCCATCCTTCCGGGGTAGGTAAAATGAGGACCCAGATTGTTGGGGGCAATGTAAATATATATATATATACATTGCTTACTGGTGTACACCGCTTAGAGAGTGCTTGCACTTAAAGCGGTATATAAGTCTCATAAATAAATTCTCAACCTATGAGTCGGGACCCCATTTGGGGTCGAACGACCATTTCACGGGAGTCGCCAAACAAGGCTGCCCGCCATTTTTTCCCCCTTTTCTTTGGCCATGCCCCTGGCACCCAGTGATGTATAAGTGGTTGGGGGTCACCACAACATGGGGAACTGTATTATGGGGTCGCGGCATTAGAAAGGTTGAGAACCACTGCCCTATACCATTTCAGACAAAGGGTTGTCCAATCTCTTCTTAAAAACCTCCAGGGATGGAGCACCCACCACTTCTGGAGGCAACTTCCGTTCCATTAGTGAATTGTTCTGTCAGGAAGTTTCTCCTTAGTTCTAGCTTGGATTTCTTAATAACCTTCCGCCCATTATTTCCTGTCCTGCCCTCATGTGCTTTGGAGAATAGGTTGACTTGCTCTCTTCTGTGTGAGCCTGATTGCTCAAAACTGTGTAGCAACTATCTTGTTTTATGGTGTTCATATACAACTGCATCCTAGAATAGAAATAGAGTAGAGTAGAATTTCCTATATTCCATATTCCATATCATTCTATTCTTATTCTATTCTATGTATTTTATTCCTTTATTCCTATTCCCATTCCATTCTATATTCTATTCTACTCTACTCTATTCCATTTCTCTATTCCTATTCCTATTCCATTCCATTCCATTCTAATTCTATTCCATTTCTCTATTCCTATTCCTATTCCCATTCCATTCTATATTCTATTCTACTCTATTCCATTTCTCTATTCCTATTCCATTCCATTCTATTCTATTCCATTTCTCTATTCCTATTCCTATTCCCATTCCATTCTATATTCTATTCTACTCTATTCCATTTTTCTATTCCTATTCCTATTCCATTCTATTCTATTCCATTTCTCTATTCCTATTCCCACTCCATTCTATATTCCATTTCTCTATTCCTATTCCCACTCCATTCTATATTCTATTCTACTCTTATTGTTGTTAATTGCGAAGTCGTGTCCGACCCATCGCGACCCCATGGACAACGTTCCTCCAGGTCTTCCTGTCCTCTACCATCTTCTGGAGTCCATTTAAGTTCAAACCTACTGCTTCAGTGACTCCATCCAGCCATCTCATTCTCTGTCATCCCCTTCTTCTCTTGCCCTCCATCTTTCCCAGCATTAGGCTCTTCTCCAGTGAATCCTTCCTTCTCATTAGGTGGCTAATTCTATTTCATTTTCTCTATTCCTATTCCTATTCCCATTCTATTCCATGTTCTATTCTACTCTACTCTATTCCTTTTCTCTATTCCTATTCCCATTCCCCATTCCATTCCATTCTATTGTAGGAACCCACATTTCTCTATCCAAGAGTTGCAGCATTTTGAGAATCCCTGTTTCTTTCCCTGTTTTTTTTTTTTTAGCTGAGCGGAGTCCTGAACCTCTCTCCCTCCTTCAGGGCAAGGTGAGACGACCGTCTGAATGCAGACTAAACTCACATTGATGAAGCTGACGTTGAGTTCCTTGGCCGTGTAGCCCCTCTGCAGATTCCGCCGGGCATAGACGTCGTAGTCCCGGACGATGCGGGTGATGATGTCCGAGGTGGAGATGCCTTCAGTTCTCTGCGTGGGGGCAAACATTCCTACAGGGCAGCCAAGAGGGAGATACGGAATTAGCTGCCGCAGCAGCAACTAGCAGGACTCGCAATGGATACCACACGGAAAGGCCTGCTGCCCTTCCCGAAAACTTGCAATCGATGTCGGGAGGACTTCAAAAGAACCGCCAAGAACTCTTCCACCCACACTGACAGGGCAAGCCCCCCCCTGTTTGGAATCAGACATCACACGCCCCTCCCTTCTAGCACTGATGATGTTGCCTAGTTGGGTCATGAAACAACCCAGCTCAGAGAGCATCAAGGATCCCACAGTCCTTCCTTTCTTTTTCTTCCTTCCTTCCTTCCTTCCTTCCTTCCTTTCTTTCTTTCTTTCTTTCTTTCTTTCTTTCTTTCTTTCTTTCTTTCTTCCTTTCCTTTCCTTTCCTTTCCTTCTCCTCCTCAAGCCTCCCTCCCTTCTAGCACTGATGATGTTGCCTAGTTGGGTCATGAAACGTCTGCAAGGAAACCATCCAGATCAGAGAGCACCCAAGACTCCACAATCCATCCTTCCTTTTCTTTCTTTCTCTTTCTTTCTTTCTTTCTTTCTTTCTTTCTTTCTTTCTTTCTTTCTTTCTTTCTTCTTTCTTTTTTCTTTTTCTTCCTTCCCTTCCTTTCCTTTCCTTCTCTTTCTCTTTCTTCCCTTTCTTTCTTTCTTTCTTCTCCTCCTCTCCGCAAGCCTCCCTCCCTTCTAGCACTGATGATGTTGCCTAGTTGGGTCATGAAACGTCTGCAAGAAAGCCACCAAGCTCAGAGAGCACCAAGGACACTACAGTCCTTCCTTCCTTCCTTCCTTCCTTCCTTCCTTCCTTCCTTCCTTCCTTCCTTCCTTCCTTCCTTCCCTTTCTTTCTCTTTCTTTCTTTCTTTCTTTCTTTCTTTCTTTCTTTCTTTCTTTCTTTCTCCTTCTTTCTTTTCTTTCAGAGAGCACTAAAGGCTCTACAGGACTTCAGAAGAGAAATTAAGCGGGGCCAAGAACAGCCCTTTCCATCTTGCCGCCTGGCCCACTTTGGGAAGCGATCGTGGGCCCCTGGATTCAGCAGGAGAGTTACAGGCTCCCCCCGTGAGTTCAGCCCAGGAGCAGGCTGCTCCCGGCAGCTCACCTGACTCCCGAATCAGGCAGAAGCCCAACAGGTTCCTTCAGCCAGCTCTCTCAGGCCAGAGCAGCTGGAGGGGGAGAAGAGGAGGGAGAGCTAGTGGGCTATTCCAGGGCCGCCCACTCACCTGCTTCTTTTATGTGTTTGTAGACGTCGTCGCTGCCGGCCGAAGAGTAGGGGATGTCATCGTGGGCGACAAAGTCGATCTGGGGGTCGGGCAAGACAGCTGTTAGTGGGGGAGGAGATGAAGCTTGGGGCAGGAAGTGTGGCTTAGAGGCATTATGGATCTGGGTATGCTAAAAGAACTGGGGAGGGAGGGAGGGTGAGAGGAAGGAAGGAAGGAAGGAAGGAAGGAAGGAAGGAAGGAAGGAAGGAAGGAAGGAAGGAAGGAAGGGAGATGGGAAAGAGAAATGAGAAGGAGATAGAAGAAGGAAAGAAGGAAGGAAAGATGGAAAAGAGAAATGAGCAGGAAGGAGATAGAAGAAGGAAGGAAGGAAGGAAGGAAGGAAGGGAGATGGGAAAGAGAAATGAGAAGGAGATAGAAGAAGGAAAGAAGGAAGGAAAGAGGAAAAAAGGAAATGGGAAAAAGAAATGAGAAGAAGAAAAGATAGAGATAGAAGAAGGAAATAAGAAAAGGAAGAAAAATAGGAAGAAAGGAAGGAAGGAGATGGAAAAAAGAAATGAGAAGGAAAGAGATAGAAGAAGGAAAGAAAGATAAAAAGAAAGAAAGAAGGAAGGAAGGAAGGAAGGAAGGAAGGAAGGAAGGAAGGAAGAAAGCAAAGAAGGAGTTGGGAAAGAGAAATGAGGAGATAGAAGAAGGAAAGAGGAAGGAAGAAAGGAAGGAAGGAAAGAAAGGAAATGGGAAAAAGAAATGAGAAGAAGAAAAGAGAGATAGAAGAAGGAAATAAGAAAAGGAAGAAAAATAGGAAGGAAGGAAGGAAGGAAGGAAGGAAGGAAGGAAGGAAGGAAGGAAGGAAGGAAGAAAACTACTAAAGTTCTTAACCTTTGACCACTGGATGGATCTCTTCGGTCACCTCCTCCCCGGGGGGGCCTGCGGGGAAAGGAACCCAGCGCGGTTCCTGCCGAGGGATTCACGAACCCCTAAAGGCGGAGGGTGGGCTGTCCCCCCCAAGGGCCCCCCTTACCCTGTGCTCCGCCAGGAACTCCGGGCTGAGCGTCCAGGGCGCGTTCCTCACCACCTCGTCCACGTAGCGGCAGTGCTGGACGGCGTCGTAGCGCTCGGCTTCGTTCATCACTGTGAAGCCCTTCAAGCTGTGCGTCAGCTCGTCGCTGCAGACTGCAAGTCAGCAGAAGAGCGGCAAGAAGCCCCCTTGGCCCCTTCCCTTCATCTGGGTACCCCCCCCCCGTTCCCAGAGCACCCACCCAAAGCATCTCAAGAGCGCCTCGTTCCCCCTGTTGCTTCTTCCTTCTGGACTTTTGGCCCACCCGCCACGAGGACCAACCTCGGAATTAGATCCCGGACACATTTTATGTATGTATTAGATGGATACTCCGTCTTTCATTCAGAAGCTCAGACACACTGCTCTGCCCTCCCCTGTTTTTCCCCCAAGACAACTCTCCTGCCAGGTAGGCTGGGCTGAGACAGAGAGATAGAGATAGATAGATAGATAGATAGATAGATAGATAGATAGATAGATAGATAGATAGGTAGGTAGATAGATAGATAGAGAGAGAGAGAGAGAGAGATAGTGTCACTGACAGGGAAAGAGAGAGACAGACAGAAAGAAAAAGAGAGAAAGACAGAGACAAAAAGAGAGAAAGAGATAGATAGAGCCAGAGACCAACAAAGAGAGGGAGGGAGAGAGAGAGAGGGAGAGAGAAAGAGACAGAGAGGGAGAGAGAGACAGAGAGAGGGAGGGAGAGAAAGAGGGAGGGAGAAAGAGAGAGAGAGAAAAGAGAGACAGACAGACAGAAAGATCAAGAGACAGAGAGACAGAAAAAGAGAGAGACAAAAAGAGAGAAAGAGATAGATAGAGACAGAGACCAACAGAGAGACAGAGAGAGGGAGGGAGGGAAAGAGAAGGAGGGAGGGAGAGAGAAAGAGAGAGACAGAGAGAGAAAGAAAGAGAGAGAGAGAGAGAGAGAGAAAGATCAAGAGACAGAGAGACAGAAAAAGAGAGACAGAGACAAAAAAAGAGAAAGAGATAGAGACAGAGAGAGGGAGGGAGAGAAGAAGGGAGAGAAAGAGAGAGAGAGAGAGAGAGAGAGAGAGAAATATGCCCAAAGTCACCCAAAGTAGCTTCTGCTGCTGGAAGGGAGGATTAGAACCCAGTTCCTAAACTAAGACTTTCACATTCTGATTCTCTTTTAACAGGGACGCAAGAATAGCCCTGGATTGACAGAAAAAAACCCTCCCCCCCCCCGGATAAATATTTCAAATACTGCTGGTTAAAGGAGGCTCGCTTGGCTTTCCCAATCCTCTTTTGTCGGAATCCTTATTTATTTATTTCTTCCTGAAATAACGCCAGGATCCCCCCTGACCACCCCAGCGGAGATCTCCTTCTGGACCAACGGTTCTCAACCTGTGGGTCAGGACCCCATTTGGGGTGGAACGACCATTTCACGGGGGTCGCCAAACAATGCAGTCCGCCATTTTTTCCCCCCTTTTCCTTAGCTGTGCTACTCCCTTTTATTCTATTGGCTTTTGAAAGCCAATAGAATAGACTCCCTTGAATAGAGTCTCATTCTATTGGCTTTCCAAAGCCAATAGGAATTGTCCAGGCTGTCTCTGCCCTGCTGAGCCCGCCAAAAGTCCCAGTCTGCAAACGGTGCTGCACCAGTTGAGTAGTCCTCGACTTACGACCGGTTGAGTAGTCTACAACTTACGACCGGTTGGGGGTCGCGGCATTAAAAAGGTTGAGAACCACTGTTCTGGAGGATCGCAAGGAAGCCCTTGGAGCGGGGCCAGAGGTTCCCCCAGCTGGGCTCCGTCCCTGTCCCCCCCCGACACGGCACCCAAATTAAAGGAGCACTCTCTCTTACCTCCAACGATGAGGTAGGTATTGGGGAACAGGCTTTTGGCCTGCATCAGAGCCCGAGCGTGTCCGGAGTGGAACAGGTCAAAAATCCCATCGGCATATACCCTGACGGGACGGTCCACTAACAAGAGAGAAACAAGGAAAGTTAAGCGTGAGAGGGTGACATGACAGGGGTCCCCCAATGTCCCAGGGGTTGCCCCAAAGAAGAGGGGTGGGTCCCCCTCTTCCCCAAAGCCCCTGAAGGCAGGACAAGAAGCAACGGAAGGAAAACTCATCAAGGAGAGAAGCAATCTGGAACTAAGGAGAAACTTCCTAACAGTGAGGACAATTCACCAGTGGAACCGCTTGCCACCAGAAGCGGTGAATGCTCCAACACTGGAAGTTTTTAAGAAGAGACTGGACCGCCATTTGTCTGGAATGGCATGGGGCTTCCTGCTTGAGCAAGGGGATGGACTAGAAGACCTCCAAGGTCCCTTCCCAGTCTATTATTATATGTTCTATGTTCTAGTGAAAAGAAGGACGAGGGGGGACATGATAGCAGTCTTCCAGTGTTTGAGGGGCTGCTCCAAAGAAGGGGGGGGGTCAGCTTATTCTCCAAAGCACCAGAAGGCAGGACAAGAAACAATGGATGGAAAATCATCAAAGAGAGAAGCAACGTGGAATTAAGGAGAAACTTCCTAACAGTGAAGACGATTAGCCAGTGGAACAGCTGGCCACCAGAAGCTGTGGGTGCTCCCTCACTGGAGGTTTTTTAAAAAGAGATTGGACAGCCAATATAATAATAATAATAATAATAATAACAACAACAACAATAACAACGTTGGAAGGGACCCTGGAGGTCATCTAGTCCAACCCCCTGCTCAGGTAGGAAACTCTAGACCATTTCGGACAAATGGCTGTCCAGTCTCTTCTTAAAAACTGCCAGTGTTGGAGCATTCACCGCTTCTGGAGGCAGGCAGTTCCACTGGTTAATTGTTCTGTCAGGAAGTTTCTCCTTAGTTCTAGCTTGCTTCTCTCCTTGATTAGTTTCCTATTTTGGGCAAGGGGTTGGACTAGATGACCTCCAAGGTCCCTTCCAGCCCTAGGAGTCCATCGACCAAGGCGAGGCAGGAGCTTCTATCCGGACGCCGCGAAAGCTTGTCGCAGGACACATGTCCTGCCCACCTTTGCAGGATCACAGATGGCCCTCGACTTACCACCTCAAACGACCCCCGAATTTTCCCGTCGCTAAGCGAGACATCTGTGAAATCTATTTTTTCCTCACAACTTTCCTTGCCACCGTTGCTAAGGGAACCGCTGCGGCTTCCCCGTGGACTTTTGGAAGGCCGTCAAAGGGGGTCAGATGAACCCCCTGGACGTTGAGACGGTCGTAAATGTGAGTCTGTGGCCGAGCGTCGGAATTTTGATCCCGTGACCGTGGGCATGTCGCCAGAGTCGTAAGGCTGAAAAAAAGGCCGTAATCCACTTTTCTTCCAGGGCCGTTGTAACTTTGAACGTGTGGAGGAATTTGCACGTGCAGCACAAACCTCATAACCTTTTGATACCCTTTGTCCCAAGGAAGCAGCCAAAAGATCACCCCCTTTTGACTTACCTACCTAAATAAATAATATGCTTTAAGTTCCCCCTGATCTCTTCCTGTCTTTATCTCTTCTTGTCTTTATCAGTTCTTTCTCCTTTTCTAATTTACCTGTATTTGTTTTTACCTGCTCTCCACAGGTAATGTGTTACTACAAAATAATTGCTTATATCAGTGTTTCCCAAACTTGACAATTTTAAGGCATGTGGACTTCAACTCCCAGAATTCCACAGCCAGCAACGCTGGCTGTGGAATTCTGGGAGTTGAAGTCCTCATGCCTTAAAATTGTCAAGTTTGGGAAACACTGGCTTATATGAAGGAATTTTTCAATTACTTTAGCTCAACAAGTAAAGGTTAAACTTCTAAATGGAAAATGTCAGCAGTTAATGGTAAAGCCTATGTATGTAAAAAGTATATAAGAAACAATAAACTCAAAGAGTTTTGTGAAGTTGTGTCTTGCAGCTTCAAACCTCTGCTCAAGACATGCCTGAGTCTTTTTCTTAGCATCGTTACAGAACGGTCACTACACAAACTGGCGTGGATTGAGGGACTTTCCATCCTACTTCCTCAGCGTCAAGCCACGTGGCAGCTAGCAGAGAGATCTGTCGGCAGCTTCAAGAATAGCTAAAATGACCCCTCTGAACTTACACCCTGGAATTTAAAGCTAAGCCAGGATTATTTTCGTCAGGACTGGAAGTGAGACATCGCCTGGAGGTGTGAGTGGACAAATACCAGGCCGGGATGCCACTTGCAGGCAGTCACGGCCGGCTTTGGTCCATGTGAAAAAGTGAGCAGAATCGAAATAGCAACGGACGGACGTAGCTCAAGGCATGTAACAGGCACACCAAAGGAGAAGAGGACATGGGTAGCTCAGGGCTGAACTGCAGGGTCCTGGGTGCTCTCTGAGCTGGGTGGCTTTCTTGCAGACGTTTCATGACCCAACTAGGCAACATCATCAGTGCTAGAAGGGAGGGAGGCTTGCGGAGAGGAGAAGGAGGAGGAGGAGAAAGAAAGAAAGAAAGAAAGAAAGAAAGAAAGAAAGAAAGAAAGAGAAAGAAAGAAAGGAAAGAAGAAACAAAGAGAGAAAGAAAGAAAGAGTAAGAGAGAAAGAAAGAAAGGAAGGAAGGAAGGAAGGAAGGAAGGAAGAAAGAAAGAAAGAAAGAAAGAAAGAAAGAAAGAAAGAAAGAAAGAAAGAAAGAAAGAAAGAAAGAAAGAAAGGATTGTGGGGTCCTGGCTGCTCTCTGAGCTTGGTGGTTTTCTTGCAGACATTTCATGACCCAACTAGGCAACATCATCAGTGCTAGAAGGGAGAGGGGTGTGCAGAAAGAAGGAGGAGGAGAAGAGAAAGAAAGAAAGAGAAAGAAAAATAAAGAAAAGGAAAGAGAAGAAAGAAAGAGAGAGAGAAAGAAAGAAAGAAAGAAAGAAAGAGAGAGAGAGAGAGAGAGAGAGAGAGAGAGAGAGAGAGAGAGAGAGAGAGAGAGAGAGAGAGAAAGGATTGTGGGGTCCTGGGTGCTCTCTGAGCTGGGTGGTTTTCTTGCAGACGTTTCTTGACCCAACTAGGCAATATCATCAGGGCTAGAAGGGTGTGGGATTTGCAAGGAGGAGAAGGAGGGTGGGGGGGGGTCCTTAGTGCTCTCTGAGCTTGGTCCTTTTTTTGCATATGTTTCATGACCCAACTAGGGAACATCATCAGTGCTACAAGGGAGTGGGGTTGGTGGGAAGGAAGAGGAAGAAGAGGAGGAAAGGAGGAGGAGAAGGAAGAGGAGGAAGAAGAAAAGAATTATGGGTCACTAGTGTTCTCTGAGCTGGGTTGTTTCCTTGCAGATGTTTCATGACCCAGCTAGGCAACATCATCAGTGCTAGAAGGGAGGGGGCTTGGGGAGAGAAGGAGGAGGAAGAGGAGGAGGAGTAGAAGAGAAAGAAAGAAAGAAAGAAAGAAAGAGAAAGAAAGAAAGAAAGAAAGAAAGAAAGAAAGAAAGAAAGAAAGAAAGAAAGAAAGAAAGAAAGAGAAAGCATTGTGGAGTCCTTGGTGCTCTCTGAACTTGGTGGTGTTCTTGAAGACATTTCATGACCCAAGTAGGTTACATCATCAGTGCTAGAAGGGAGGGGGGATTGCAGAGAGGAGAAGGAAGGAGGAGAACTGAGGGGTCCTTGGTGCTTTCTGGGTTGTTTTCTTGCCAACATTTCATTACCTAAATTAGGTGACATCATAGTGCTAGAAGGGAGTGGAGTTTGAGGAGGAGGAGAAGAGAAAGAAAAGAGAGAGAGAGAGAGAGAGAGAGAGAGAGAGAAAGAAAGAAAGAAAAAAAGAAAGGATTGTGGGGTCCTTGGTGCTCTCTGAACTTGGTGGTTTTCTTGCAGACGTTTCATTACCCTAACTAGGTAACATCATCAGTGCTAGAAAGGAGTGAGATTTGCGGAGAGGAGGAGGAGGAGGAGAACTGTGGGGTCCTGGGTGCTCTCTGAGCTGGGTGGTTTTCTTGCAGACATTTCATGACCCAACTAGGGAACATCATCAGTGCTAGAAAAATCCGTTTTAAATCTCGGGAGATCGGGCTGCACAACTAACTAACCTAGTTGTGATCCTGACATTTCCTCTCTGCTGACCTGGAGTTCCTTTCCCTGCCTCCTCAACTCTCAGCTGCCAGAAAGTTGCTCCAACAGCGGCCAAAAACGAAAGGCTTTTGAATCTCGACTACAACGCCCCTTCTCCGTTTGCAAAGGTTGACGTAGGTTAGAAGAGCATTCGGCTGGCACACAGGCGGTCCTCAGCTTACGACCGTAATGGATGCTGCCCGTTAGGTCGTTAAGTTAGGACGCTTGTAAGGTAACCAACCTGACTGACGCCATCTTTTTTTTCAGGTTGTTAAGCGGCCGCTGGAGTCGTTAAGCGGATGCCATCGGACTTGCAACCTTTCGTTTAGCGACCGTTCCAACTTACGACGGCGCCGAAAGATGTGACCTAGGACGCTTTTTTTCACACTTGCGACCGTCGTGGTCATGTGATCAAAAGTCGGACGCTTGGCAACCGACTCGTATTTACAATGGCCGCCGTGTCCTGGGGGGGGGGGGGTCAGGTGATCCCCTTTTGCGACTGTCTGACAAGCCAAGTCCATGGGGGAAGCCAGATCCGCTTAACAACCGTGTTACTAACTCAACCGCTGCAGTGATGCGTTTAACGACCGTGGCCAGGAAGGTCGTAAAAGGGGGCAAACAGACGGTGAGAAATGTGAATCGGTTGCCAAGCGTGTCAAAGTTTTGAACGTGCTGCAACGGTCGGGGTGAAAAACGGTCGTAATTCGCTTTGGTCAGCGTCGTTAAGTCGAGGACCTCCCTGCACAACAAGAATTGATGATTTTGGGCTTACAGATAAAATTATGAATACCACTTTACAAGGCCTTGGTAAGGCCACACTTGGAATACTGCGTCCAGTTTTGGTCACCACGATGTAAAAAAGATGTTGAGACTCTAGAAAGAGTCCAGAGAAGAGCAACAAAGATGATCAGGGGACTGGAGGCTAAGGCATATGAGGAATGGTGGCTGGGGATGTCTAGTTTAACGAAGAGAAGGACGAGGAGGGGACAGGATAGCAGCCTTCCAATCTCTCAGAGGCTGCCCCAAAGAAGAGGCAGTCAAGCTATTCTCCAAAGCCCCTAAAGGCAGGACAAGAAACAACGGATGGAAACTCATCAAGGAGAGAAGCAACCTAGAACTAAGGAGAAACTTCCTGACAGTGAGAACAATTAACCAGTGAAACAACCTGCCTCCAGAACCTGTGAATGCTCCAACACTGGAAGTGTTCAAGAAGAGACTGGACAGCCATTTGTCTGAAACGATATAGGGTTTCCTGCCTGAACAGGGAGGTTGGACTAGATGACCTCCAAGGTGCCTTCCAACTCTATTATTATTATTATTATTATGGATCATCGCACAGTCAGCCAGATGTTCAGACTGGATTTGGCATTTTGTCTACCTATCGAGTCCTTACCCAGGACCTGGGATAGGCAGATGTGGATGTTTGATGGTATTACAGGTATCGTCGCAGGATGGAAGCAGTTCCTAATAAGGCCGCCTTTTGCAATTGACTAATAGCGAATTTGTCAATGCCAATGGTGTTCAAGTGGTGCTCCAGTTGTTTTGGGATTGCACCCAAGGAGCCTATTACTATTGGTACTACCCTTGCTTGCTTTTGCCACAGTCTTTCTATTTCTATTTGTAGGTCTTTGTATTTTGTTATCTTCTCCAGTTCTTTCTCTTCTATTCTGCTGTCTCCAGGCACTGCCACGTCCACTATCCAGACTTTTTTGTCTTTCTTATCGACAATTGTTAAGTCTGGGGTGTTATGTTGCAGGTGCTTGTCTGTTTGAATTCTGAAGTCCCAGAGCAGTTTAATTTTATCATTTTCTATGACTTTCTCTATTTTATGATCCCACCAGTTTTTGCTTACAGGCAAATGATATTTTTTGCAGATCTTCCAATGCACCATTGTTGCTACTTTGTCATGCCGCTGCTTGTAATCAGTCTGTGCAATCTTCTTGCAACAGCTTACCAAGTGGTCCACTGTTTCTTCAGCTTCTTTGCATAGGCGGCACTTACTGTCTGTTGCTGTCTTCTCAATTTTGACTTTGTATGCATTTGTCCTTAAGGCTTGGTCTTGTGCAGCCAGAATTAGTCCCTCGGTCTCTTTCTTCAATTTTCCTGCTCTTAGCCATTGCCAGGTTTTATTATTATCTGCTTTCCCAGCTATTTTTTTCATGTATTGGCCATGTAGTGCTTTGTCTTCCCATGCCTCTATTCTGTTCTTCATTTGGTCTTTCTTGTAGGCCAGTTTGGTCTCTCCAGTAGTTAGTAAGCCTTCCTGATATACTAATTTCAGTGCATCTTCATCATTGTTCTTCAGATATTCTTCCAAAGCCATTTTTTCTTCTTCAACCATCTGATGTACTTGTAGCATTCCACGCCCACCTATTTGCCTTGGTAGATAAAGTCTATCAATGTCACTGCGTGGATGAAGGGCATGATTCATTGTCATTATTTTTCTGGTCTGCCTATCCATTGCTTTTAGTTCTGCTTGAGTCCAGTCCACTATTCCAGCTGTGTACCTAATGACTGGGATTGCCCAGGTGTTGATTGCCTTTATGGTATTTCCTCCATTGAGTTTGGACTTTAAGATCTTCTTCACTCTCTTGATGTATTCACCTCTAATCTTTTTCTTGACTTCAGTGTGCTTGATGTTGTCAGCTTGAAGGATACCCAAGTATTTGTAGTACTCTTCCTCATCCAGACTCTTAATGTTATTTTCGTGGGCATCTTGATTCCTTCAGTTTTCACTATTTTTCCTTGTTTGATAGTAAGTGTGGCACATTTGTCCAAGCCAAACTCCATTACAATATCTTGGCTATATATACGGACAGTGTTGAGCAGCGATTCTATTTCAGATGATGTTTTTCCATACAGCTTCAGATCATCCATGTAAAGGAGGTGGGATAGTCTAGCAGATGTTTTTGATGTTTGATAGCCATGTCCTGAGTTATTCAGTATTGTTGACAGAGGAAACAGTGCAATAACAAATAGTAATGGTGATAATGAATCTCCTTGAAATATTCCTCTCTTGATATTAACCTCTCCCAGCTTCTCACCATTGATCTGCAACTGTGTCTTCCATTGTGCCATCGATCTTTGCACAAATTTTCTGATGTTTCTACTGACTCCTGTTATTTCTAGGCACTTTATTATCCAATCATGTGGCAGAGAGTCTATTATTATTATTATTATTATTATTATTATTATTATTATTATTATTATCACTACTACTACTACTACTACTACTACTACTACTACTACTACTACTACTACCTCCAAGGTCCCTTCCAACTCTCTCAAACATCAATGTCCAACTGGCTTAGGGTATTAAATATTAACAAGTCCAACTTCTACTCAAGGAGAGAAGCAAGCTAGAATTAAGGATAAATTTCCTGACAGTGAGGACAATTAAGCAGTGGAACCACCTGCCTCCAGAAGTGGTGAATGCTCCAACATTGGAGGTTTTTAAGAAGCGACTGGACAGCCATTTGTCCGAAATGGTATAGGATTTCCTGCCCGAGCAGGGGGTTGGACTACATGACCTCCAAGGTCTCTTCCAGCTTAATAATAACAACAACAACAACAACAACAGTATCAATAGTCATAGGCGCCTTGGGTGCAATTCCAAAACAACTGGAGCACCACTTGAACACCATTGGCATTGACAAATTCGCTATTAGTCAATTGCAAAAGGCGGCCTTACTAGGAACTGCTTCCATCCTGCGATGATACCTGTAATACCATCAAACATCCACATCTGCCTATCCCAGGTCCTGGGTAAGGACTCGATAGGTAGACAAAATGCCAAACCCAGTCTGAACATCTGGCTGACTGTGCGATGATCCATAATAATAATAATAATAATAATAATAATAATACAAAATAAAAAAAAAAACACTTACAGGGCGTTCCTCTCGTTGCCTCTTCAAACGTGACTCGTGTGTAGGGCTTGCTGTAGTCCACTTCCAGCTCATCGGAAAATGGAGCCGGCTCTCGCAATCCCTGGGTTTAAAAAAATAAAAATCAGAAAAAGATGTTTATTCAATGTTTATGAGGGTTAGGAAAAGAGGCATCAGAGCAGGAATTATATAATTATTGTAGCATATTATTGTAGCAGGGGGCTGGACTAGATGACCTCCAAGGTCCCTTCCAACTTTATTATTATTCTTTGTCATATGTTAATGTGAGGATTAGCCCTGGAGAACTCTATTTTATAGCAATGTTTCCGAAGCTTGCCAAGTTTAAGACGTGTGGACTTCAACTCCCAGAATTCTCCAGCCCGCATAGTAATATAGTAAAATAAATAGAAATGAAATAAAAACAAGTAAAATAAAAAGAAATTAAAATAGATAAAGTGAAGTAAAATAAAAATAATAAATGAAAGTTAAAATGAAATAGAAGTTAAAATGAAATAAAAAAATAAGCAAACTAAAGGAAAATAAAAAATAAGTAAAATAAAAAGAAATTAAAATAAAGTAAAGCAAAATAAAACAAAAAAGTTAAAATGAAATAAAAAATAAAAGGAAAAAAATAAGCAAAATAAAGTAAAATAAAAAATGTAAAAGAAAAAGAAATTAAAATAAAGCAAAGTAAAGCAAAAATAATAAATAAAAGCTAAAATGAAATAAAAAGCAACATGAAAAACAAGCAAAATAAAACAAAACAAAAAATAAGTAAAATAAAAAAAATAATAAAAATAAAAAAGAAACAAAACAAAACAAAATGGGTCACTTGTGTCAACTGAGATGACTGTAAGATCAGAATCTGACGGAAAAAACAGACTGCAGTTAACAAATGTGATTTTTTTCCCAGGAGAAAAACAGCGATTGAGTCATCCTAGAGAAGTGTCTTTCAACCTCAGCCTCTTGAAAGTGGCTGGACTTCAACTCCCAGAATCCCCCAGTCAGCCATGCTGGCTGGAGAATTCTGGGTATGGAAGCCCACCCACTTTCTAGGCCTTTGGGGAATTGAAGCCCACCCACCATCCCTTCTCCCAGCCCAGGGGTAGGCCACCTTGGCTCTTTTATGACTCGTGGACTTCAACTCCCAGAATTCCTGAGCCAGCATGAGGGAACTATGGCCCCCTTGATGACTCGTGGACTTCAACTCCCAGAATTCCTCAGCCAGCATGGGGGAACTATGGCCTCCTCATGACTCGTGGACTTCAACTCCCAGAATTCCTCAGCCAGCATGGGGGAACTATGGCCTCGTTATGATTGGTGGACTTCAACTCCCAGAATTCCTGAGCCAGCATGGGGGAACTATGGCCCCTTCATGACTCGCAGACTTCAACTCCCAGAATTCCTCACCAGCATGGGGAAACTATGGCCCCTTCATGACTTGCGGACTTCAACTCCCAGAATTCTTCAGCCAGGCACGCTGAGGGGAAAGGGAGACATTTCCAAGCTGAGCCAGGCTGGCTCAGGAATTCTGGGAGTTGAAGTCCACCAGTCATCAAAGAGCCAAGGCTGCCTACCCCTGTGGACCCAGCCCTTCTCCACTTACTATACAGTTGCGGGGCATTTTCAACGGGATGCCGTCTGTCTGGGCGGCCCCGTTGGAACCCGCTCCTTCTTTCCTCCTCTTCCTGGAGTTTAATCTGGCCGAGATCTGGGGATCCATCCCGGCAATCGCCTCTGGGAGATCGGCTGGAGACACCTGGAGGATCCAAGCAGGCGTTTTAAGGGAACTGGTGAAAGAAAAGGAAAACGGGGGGGGGGGCAGTGCCCGGCTGTCCGGCTGAATGCCAACGGAGCAGAAGGCTCACGCTGGCACGTCCGTCGGTCAGGAGAAGTGGGGCGAGGAGGGAGGGAGGGATTTGTGTGGCTCTCTTACGCACAAATTGTTTGTCCCTGCTGGAGTCACAGGAAAAACCAGCTGTCCAGGCAATATTGGACACGGCTAATACTACTGAGTTGTTGTTGTTTTCTCTCCCAACCCAGCAACCATGTTTGAAACTGCGGGCAGGACCGCTGCTTATTTCAGCACTGTAAAAGCCTGGGCAAAAGTTTGCGGGCGGTCCTTGACTTGCAAAGATTCGTTTAGGGACTGTTTTGAATAGAATAGGGCTGGAAGGGACCTGGGAGGTCTTCTAGTCTAGCCCCCCCCCCTGCTCAAGCAGGAGGACCTGTCCATTCCATTCCATTCTTCTATTCTATTCTCTATTCTATTCTTTCTCTATTCTATTCATTTATTCTATTCCCGTGGTGGCGAACCTATGGCACGGGTGCCAGAGGCGGCAATCAGAGCCCTCTCTGTGGGCACGCACGCCATCGCCCCAGTCCTAGGCCTTCAGCTGGGTTTTATAAAACCTTTTCGCTTTAGGCCTCCGCCGTGTGCAAAAAAAAAAAAAAAAAAAGGTTCAATCAATCAATTTCAACTTCTCGCGGGAAGCCATGCTCACCCATTGGGCCACATCCATCCGGCACCTATGATATATAAGTGGGTTTTGGGTTGCAGTTTGGGCGCTCAGGTCTCTAAAAGGTTCGCCATTACTGCCCTATCCTATGCTATGCTATGCTATGCTATCCTATCCTATTATTATTTCATTCCATATTCTATTCTATTCTATTGTCAGAATCCAATTATATTTCATCTTTAAATTATCAAATATAGAAACTCCCAATTCTGCCTTCTCTGGATTCTGCCATAAGAGGGAGAGAAGGGGGAGAGCAAAGGGGCTTTATGGCCCTCACTTCCTTCTTTACACTTCAAAGAGCTGAATGTGTGTTTATTGTAACCTCTAAGCGTTAACATATCACAGAAGGGTAATTGCCTTTCATGTAGTATCTGAAGTCTCCATCCAGACGGAAGAAAGAAGAAAGGAGGTGGAATTGTGATACTTGAAACCATCACTGGAAGGGGGGTTGATTGGGTGGGACTACTGGGGAACCCCTTAAAACCTTGAATGGAAGAGCTTGAACCCCAAGTCCTGTCTAGCATGCCTGCAACCAGTTTCTCTTAATAAAGGATTCCTGTTGGAAGAATTATTCCAAGAGTTCTGTCTTCTTAAGATGCAAAGTGGGGTGGGTCCTTACATTAGACAGGACTTGCAAAATTAATCCACCTGGAAGGAAGACCCTTGCCGGGGGATTTTGCAAAAATTTACCATGTAAGACAATGGAGCAAGAGAGGGGGAAAACTCCCTGGAAAGAGAGCCGCTGACCCAGTTGGAACCTTGCCAGATGTTGGGATCCGAGAGGCGAGATTCCTCAGGAGAAGAAGTGGTGGAGACACAGGACCACAAGCCTCGCTGGTCGATGGGCGTTGGAAAGAAAAGTGAGTGGGGAAAGGAATCAAGAAAGGTGACCCTGAGAAGGGGGACCAAGCAACCAGAAGGGAAGCAGGAGATGGAGAAATCCCTGCACGCAAGTGAAAAGGGAGGAAGCTGGGCACCGTACTCAGACTGGATCCTAGAGAAAGCTATTGACCTGATGAAGAGAACTCTCAGCTCCCTAAGAGAGGAGAATACTGAACCCTACGGCTGCCCCAGTTCCTGGAGCCGCAAAGGGAGAGACACCGAGGGGGACGTGGAACCTGCAACCCCAGGGACCTCTACTGATCCAGGAGCTCCCACCCCCTACCGGACCACAGATGGCAATCTGGACGGAAGGCACTACCACCCACAACAGAGGCACCGAGCCATTCCAAGACGTCCACCGTTGGAAGTGAAATTCAAAGGGGAGCCAACACGCTTGGGGTTTTTCCTAACCCAAGTCCTCAGCTACATGGAGGAATATGGGCAGGATATTTCCCAGCGACAAAGCCCGCATCCGGATCGTGCAATCTGCCCTGGATGGACAGCTGCGGATTGGTATGACCTTGCATGACTCCAATGCCCCAGAACTCATACTCAACCGTTTCAGGTCCTCTTTGAGAAGACGATTTGAAGACCCCCTGGCTGATCGCAAAGCCCGTGAAAGAATAACAACGATGAGGCAGGGCAAACGCCCAGTGGCTGAGTATACCCAAGAATTCCGGGCCATTGCCAGCAAACTGAATTGGCCGGAAGACATCCTCCTTGGCCATTTCAAAGACGGACTAAACTATGATCTATATGATGCGTGCCTGCCCCGAGGGGACCCACATCGACTTGAGGAATGGTACGTCTTGGCAGAGGAAGCAGAGATCGACATATTGAAGAGGCACCGCCGAGGAAAACAATGGAGCCGCCCCCCGCCTGAGCTGACACACCAACCGGTGAAATCATCGGATACAGCCAAGAAGCAAATGAGATTTTTCAAGTGCGGAAGAGAAGGGCATCGAGCTGTAGAATGCCGCTCAAAGGCCCCCCAGCACAACCCAGACAGATCCCCAATCAACAAACCCGGAAAGTATTCAGCTAAGCCAAAACAAACGGCCATGAGAATGAGGGAAATTGCAGAAACCCCCACCTCTGCTCACCAAGGGGAAAGGACTCCAGCCTACACCACAGGGCCGGTGGATGCCTCAGATGACAGCTCGGAGGGCGAACCCCTGGTTAGTGGATGCATCACACCCATCTTCAAAACAGTGACTATATTAATCCCCCCCCTGCCCGAAGCTGTGAAGGTGAAAGCCTTAATAGACTCTGGCTGTACCCGCTGCCTCATTAGCCCAACCCTAGTGGGGAATCTGGGCATC